TTGCTAAAGTACTAAAGAGGAAACAAAACCAGAGCCTTATGCATACTAGGCAAGTGCTCTGCTACTGAGCTACATTCCCAAATGGAACTGAATTTTTTTTTTTTGGGAGACAGGGTCTCCCTATAGCCCCAGCTGGTCTGGAACTTGTTATATAGACCAGGCTGGCCCTGAACTCACAGAGATCTGCCTGCCTCTGCCTCTGCTGGCATTAAAGGCATGTACCACCACACCCAGCAGGAATTGTACTTTAAAAAAAAAAATTTATTATTTTTATTTTATGTGTATGAGTGTATTGCCTGCATGTATGTGAGTGCACCCGTGTCGTGCAATGCCTTGGAGGTCAGAAGAGGGCTTCGGAGTCCCCTGGAACAGGAGTTAAGGATGGTTCATAGCTGCCATGTGGGTGCTGGGAATTGAACCCAGGTCCTCTGCAAGAGCAGTCAGTGCTCTTAACCACTAAGCTATCTCTCTAGCCCCATGTACTTTAAAAAAAAAAAAAAGATTTTTAACAATGTGTATGTCTTGCCTGTGCACTTGAGTGAATGTCAGAAGGGATGTCAGATCCACTGGAACTGGAGGTACAAGCAGTTAGTTATGAGTCACCTGACATGTATGGGAGTGCATTGTGTCATGCAATGCCATGGAGATCAGATTCCCCTGGAAATGGAGTTAAGGATGTTTCATAGTTGCCATGTGGGTGCTGGGAATTGACCTGGGTCCTCAGCCCTTCAGTCAGTGCTCTTAACTGCTGAGCCATCTCTTCAGCCCCTTATTTTGTCCCAGCTGGCCTGGAACTCACTATGTAGGCCAGGCTGGACTCACTCACAGAGATTCACCTGGTTTTGCGTTTCAAGTTCTGAGATTAAAGGTGTGTGCCACCATACCTGGCTATTTTTAAATTTTTAATTGTGGGGCTGGAGAGATGGCTCAGAGGTTAAGAACACTGGCTGTTCTTGCAGAAGACCCATGTTTGAATCCCAGCACCCATAGAGCAGACAACTGTCTGTAACTCCAGTTCCAGGGGAATCTGACAGCCTCTTCTGTCCTCCGTGGGTATTGTACAACACGGGTGCACTTACCTACATGCAGGCAATACAAGCACACACATAAAAATAATAAAATATTTTTTAATGTGTATGAATAGTTTGCCTGCATGTATGTGCATTACAGGCATGCAATGTCCAGAGGGCAGGAGGTGTCAGATCCTCTGGAACTAGAGTTAGAGATGGTTGTGAGTTGCTATGTGGGTGCTGGGAACTGAAGCTCGATCCTTTGCCAATGCTCTTAACCACTGAGCCTCTCCCAGTCCTTTTTTATTTTATGTTGAAGCAGGGTCTCCTTAAATTGCCCAGTTTGGCCTTGAACTTGTAATCATCTTGCCTTAGCATCTCAAGTTACTTGTTCTTAATAAAAAGAACCATCAATCCAAAGGCTAAAGGGTGCCCTCTGGTAAGCCTTGAATGAGTCACAATAAAGATCTATCATTATACCTATGGTATGGCATAGAGTTCAAGACCACTGGCTGAGGGCTGGGGTGTGACTCAGTATTAGAATGCTTGTCTAGCTTGTACAGTGCTCTGGGTTATACCTCAAGCAATGCAAAAACAAAACAAAAAAGCACATTAGCCATGGAGTTATTTGGATGCCATATATTTGGTGACATTAGGTAAGTTCCTAACCTCTGCAGGTCTGACTCCAGTTTTTTTTTGCGGGGGTGGAGGGCAGGCAGGGTGCGTGGGATAGAATCAAGGGCCTTGTTTATGGTAGGCAGATGATACACTCTAACCCCTCATCTCAATAATAAGATGGAGACAGGAATCTAGCACTTGCACTGAGAGGAGGCCATGTCTGGCTTACAACATGCCTGAGAGCCATGCTCATACAAGCTACTGACCGATGCCATGCTTCTCCATAAGGGCGATGAGGTCAGCCTCAGTGAGCAGCTGAGGGGGGCTGGTCTCCCCATCCACCATCTCCACAGTGCTGGGCTGAAAGCAGGAGCCTTGCTCATAGGCAGGGAGGAGCTAACGAGAGAGCAGGTATAGAGTTGAGATCTGTCATCACACTCAGTATAGTCTTGCTCCATCAGCCTGCACAGGGCTGTAGCACAATGGCTGCCCTCTCCCCGGAGCCCACTTCCTATCACCTTGTCACTCCAGTGATCGTATGGATACACGTCCAGGTAGTTACGGGCCAGAATCATGAGGCCATGGGCTATGAAGCGTTCTTGAGCAATGTCAATCTCTACGGTGGTCTCTTGTCCCTGGGCATCCTGGGAGCAGCAAGCCAGAAAATGGCGAACGATGAACTCATAAAGACGCTGTTCATCTCCCTGAGGAAAGAAACTCCTTTCAGAACAGTATGTCTCAGGGACTGAAGTGCCACTGGATTTTCAACCTGGTGTATGCCACTGTTAACCAGAAGTTCTGCATAGAATAGACCACATGGCTCCTCAGGTCTTGCAACATGTGTGTAGATATTGAGGAGCTAATGGATTTCAATTGATACAACTCACAACTCTAATCAGGCAAAGGTAAGCAAAGGATTCTTTGATGTGAACCTAATCTAAACAGAAATGAGGTGATGCATAGGAAATTAGGAAAATACTTGCTGAATACATAGTAACACTGCACTTGACAGCCTTAGGCCAGCTTTATGCAGTGACTTGATGGAGCTCATGTTCCATTAACTAGGTGAGCAAGGATTCAGTGAGGTCCACCTAGTGAAAAACCCATGGGACAGTCATGCTCATACCCACCAATTCCCCTTCTAAGAATTCATCTCCCCAGCCCAAATATTACTATTTATACACATTAAGCACATTTTTACAGGCAAATATTTGTGTAGATTTCTAGTTATTTCTTTTAAATGAATTCTGACCTCTACATGGGCATTGTGGCAGATGTGTGCCCACACATACACTAAATAAAATCTAATTTAAAAATTAAGGCTGGGAGCCGGGCGTGGTGGTGCACGCCTTTAATCCCAGCACTCGGGAGGCAGAGGCAGGTGGATCTCTTCGAGTTCAAGGCTTGCCTGGTCTACATAGTGAGTTCCAGGCCAGCTGGGGGTGTAGGGAGACCCTGTCTCAAACAAACAAACAAACAAACAAACAAAAAAAAAATTAAGGCTGGGCATAGTGGCACACACCTTTAAACTCAACACTCAGGAAGCAGAGGCAGGCAGATCTCTGTGAGCTTGAGGCCAGCCTTGTCTATACAGTGAGTTCTAAGCTAGTTAGGGCTATCTAGTGAGATCCTTACTAAAAACCATAAAAACCAAATCAACCGACCAACAAAAACTTCAAAATGAAAAACAGACTGGAGAGGACTCAGTATAAGAGCACTTACTACTATTGTTCCAGGTACCTGGGATTGTTTTCCAGCACCCACATGGCAACTAACAAAATGTTCTAACTCTAGTTCTAGGGAATCCACTGCTCTCTTCTGGCCTCCAAGGCCACTGCATGCAGTGGTATACTTTACATTTATGTAGGCAAAACACTAATAAACATAAAGTAAAAATAAATTAAAAGGAAAAAAAGCACCATACCAGTTCTAGATGGGCAGTTTATAAAACAAACAAAACTAAAACCAAAAAAAAAAAAAAAGAGTTGGAAAAATTTAAAATCTTACAAAAACAGATTTGGGGGCTGGTGCAATAGTTCCACGGGTAAAGGCACCTGCCACAAAGTTAAATGGCTTGAGTTCGATCCCCTGGATCCACATGATGGAAGAGAGGCAAGCTGTCCCTGACCTTCACATGCATGCCATGTCATGTACCATCCTATCCCAATAAACAAATGTGAAAATTAAAAACAAAAACAGATTTTTGCAAACTACATGAAAACAACTGTTATATATTTTCCTTATAGTGTTAAAAAGTAGTTTTTACAAACCTATTTATAATTTTTTCTTTTCTTTATATGGTCTTTTTGAGATAGGGTCTTCCTTATAGCCCCAGCTGATCTGAACTTGCTGTGTAGACCAGGTTGGCCTCATTCTCACAGAGATCCATCTGTCCTGCCTCCTGAGTGCTGGGATTAAAGATGTACATCACCACATCCAGCTTTGTTTATAATTTTTCAATCATTCACTTTTTTTTCCTTAGTCTTCTTGAGACAGAGTCTCCCTATAGCCCTTGCTGGCCTCCACCTCCCAAGTACTGGGATTAAAGGCATGCACAACAGCATCTGTGTATAGGTCAGAGAAAAACTCTCAGGAGTGGGTTCTCTCCTGCCACTTTGTGGGATCCAGGGATTGAACTGAGGTCGTCAGGCCTACATAGAAGCATGTCTACTTGATGGGCCATCTCACCAGGCCAGCCTTAGCCTTTTTACATATGGAATTATAAGCATGACCTACCAAACCTGACTGAACCATATTTTCCTTCTTTTAAAAAGTTTTTAAATTTATTTTTTAACATTTTATTACTTTTATTTTGTATATGAATATTATGCCTACATGTAGATCTGTGCACCCATGTTATGCAGTGCCCACAAAAGACAGAAGAGGGCATTAGATCCTCAGGAAGTGGAGTTATGGACAGTTGTTAACTGCTATGTGGGTGCTGGGATTCAAACCCCAGTCTTCTGCAAGAATAGCCAGTGCTCTTAACTGCTGAGTCAGACCTGAGCCACATTTTCGACATATGTATATAATATTTTTTTTTATGGTTTCATTATTACTTTTTGTGAGTGTATGTGTGTATTTGAGTTCAAGTGCACATGTACCACAGTACATGTGTGAGGTCAGAGGACAGCTAGTTCTCTCCTTCCATGGTTGGTTCTAGGGACTGAACTCAGGCCATCAGGCTTGCATAATCCCCAAATGAATAAATGACTAAATGAATTTAAAAAAAAAAGGCTAGGGGCTAGAGAGATGGCTCAGCAGTTAAGAACACTGGTTGTTCTTGCAGAAAACCCGGGTTTGAATCCCAGCACCCACATGGCAGCTAGCAACTGTCCATAACTCCAGTCCCAGGGGATCCAACAGCCTCTTCTGACCTTCTTGGACATTGCATGACACTGGTGCACTTACCTACATGCAGGCAATACACACGTACACATAAAATAAAAACAATAAATAAATTTAAAAAAAAAAAAAAAAAGGAAAAAAAGAGACTAAGGTAGGGCTGTAGTAAGTTGGTAGGGTGCCTGAGGAGCATGCATGAAGCCCTAGGCTCCATCCCAGCACCACATAGAATCAGGTGTGGTGGCATATACCTGCAACTCCAGGACTCTAGGTAGAGGCATGAGGATCAGAAGTTCAAGCCATCCTCAGTTACAGTTTAAGGACCCTGTCTCAAAGAACCCCACCTCCAAAAAACAATCAATCACCAACAAAAAACACACAAATAAACAAAACAAGCTGGTTGTAGTGGTGAATGCCTGTAATACCAGTACTTAGGAGGCAGAGGCAGGAGGATCACCAAAAGTTCAAGATTTACCTGGATTACATATCAAGTTTCAGACAAATCAGGGCCATGGATCAAGATCCTGCCTCATAAACAAAACAAGGGGGCTGGAGAGATAGCTCAGAGGTTAAGAACACTTGCTGTTCTTCCAGAGGACCCAGGTTTGGTTTCCAGCACCCATATGGTGGCTAACAACTATCCATAACTCCACTTCCAGGGGAGTCAATACCTTCTGGCCTTTGAGGCATTGCACTCACATGGTGCAATTACATACATGCAGGCAAAAAAAAAATATATATATATCTCCTGGTGTGGTGGTGCAAGCCTTTAATCCCAGCACTCAGGAGGCAGAAGGAGGAACACTGTGAGTTCAAAGCCAGCCTGATCTACATAGTGAGTTCCAGGCCAGGTGAGGCTTCAGGGAGACCCTGTCTCAAAAAGACCAAGAAAATAAATAAATAAAAAATTTAACAACAACAAAAAAAAACCCCAACAACACAACATTAAACCATAAAAAGCAAACCAAAACAAAACATGGGCTGGGGTGTAGCTCAGCTGGTAGAGTGCTTGTCTAAGAAGTATAAGGTCCTGGGTTCCAACCCTACCACTGCATAAACTGTACAGTGGTGTAGATTCATTATCTTAGCACTTAAGAAGTAGAGGCAGGGGGCTGGAGAGATGGCTCAGTGGTTAAGAGCATTGACTGCTCTTGCAGAGGACCTGGGTTCGATTCCCAGCACCCACATGGCGGCTACAAAACTGTCCTTAACTCCAGTTCCAGGGGAATCCGAAGCCCTCTTCTGACCTCCGTGGCATTACACAACACAGGTGCACTCACATACATGCAGGCAATATACTTGTACACATGAAAAAAAAAATAATAATAATAAAAATAAAAAGAAGTAGAGGCAGGAGGCCAGGAGTTCCAGGTCATCTTTAGCAACATAATGAGTTCAAGGTCAGTCCTGGGCTATACAAGATCCTGTCTCTACAAGCAAGCAAACAAGAAAAGAAAGTAGTTCTAAATAGGGGTGAAGTTACAGGCAATTTTTTTCACCCATAAAATCTTTTGTATTTCCTAAACTATCTAAAATAAACATGGTACTTCTGTTGTTTTGAGAAAGGGTCTTGTAGTCCTAGCTAGCCTGGAACTTGCTATGCAGACCAGGCTGGCTCTGAACTCACCTGCCTTTGCCTCCTGAGTGCTGGGATTAAAGGTGTGTGCTACCAAGCCCAGCAAACATGGTACTTTTAAAATCAGAAAGAATATGTATTATTAAAAGACCAGAGTGCATTTAAGTGTAGTTGTCAGACAAGCCTGACAGAGCTGCTGCCCAGGTGGTTCAAAGTTGAGTGTGACCCTGCAGTAGAGTGTGGGTGCTGGGGAAGAGTTTGAAAGTTATAGATGTATCCAATCTTTGGAGATAGTTGGGCCTTTTCCAGGTAGCAAGGGACTAGGAAGGCCATGTGGCTTGCAGAAAGGAGGCTGCCCTAACATCATCTAAAGGATCATGAAGCAGCAGAGCTGAACATGAGTATAACCTACCACAGAGTCTTTTGTGAAAGCCAGCCTCAAGACAATGAAATGGGAGTCTATGAAATAGTCATAGAACTCTTAACACTGATTTCCCTTTCTTGAAAATCACTTGTTTCCAAAATCAGACCTCATATAGCAAGTCTCAATCCTACTACTGACTCTTAGTACCTGCTCTGTTTCACAGGACTCACCACAAAGAAACCAACCTGCAAGTTGTTGGTGTATTTGGTGGGGTGAACTGGAGGATGAGCTTGATCAGATTTGCTCCCATTTCGTGGAGTGGGGCCACCTTGCTCTAGAATGTTTTGAGCAAAAGCCCCCCAGTGCGGATCCAGGGTCTGCTGTTCCACCAGTGCTACCAGGTTTAAGTCTTTGGGGAAAATGTTTGTTTCTGTTCGTGGATAGCTGATGTACCTAAAAGAAAGGAAACAAAAAGGAGATTATTAGGCTCCTTATAGCAACTATGTAGACCAGACTAGCCTCAAACTCTGAGATCCACCTGCCTTTGCCGCCTAAGTGCTGGTATCAAAGGTGTGCACCACCACACCTGGTTGATTGGTTTACTTCTTTTACACAGGTCTGGCCCTGTTGCTCCAGCTGTTACCATCTGATATTGCCAACTAAAAACCACCTAGACTGAGAAAGGATCTGAGATGGGCTCCTTTAGGGTGAAAAGCTTTCCTGCTAGGACATTTCAAGAAGCTAGCAGAAAAGCAGCAGCATGCTAAAGGATAAAGGTCCAAGACTTTGTAGGTACATGTGGCCAGAGGTACATCACTGGCTTCTCTCTAAAGAGTCAGTCTGACAGAAAGACCCTGTGTGGTGTAAGTCTCACTGGATCTCACAGTTCCAACAGTACACGCTCCTATAACTTCCTAAAGAACACAAAGAACAATGTTGTTCAATAAAACTGTTAATATGGCTCAGTGATAAAGTGTGTCTAGTATGTGTCAGAGCCTGAATTTAACTACATTGGAAAAAAAAAATCGAGATGTTTACATCTTATTTTCACATATGCCTTCAAAATCTGTGGGGGTTTTTGGCCTTTTTTGAGACAGGGTCTCCCTGTAGCCCCAGCTGGCCTGGAGCTCATTATGTAGACTAGGCCGACCTTGAACTCAAGAGATCTGCCTGCCTCTGCCTCTCAGTACTGGAATTAAAGGTGTACATCACCATGCCCAGCCAAAATCTATGTTTTAAAAAATTATTTATATATTTATTTTTATTTATGAGTGTGTACATGCCACATACTTGTGGGTACCCTAGAGGCCAAATGAAGGCATAGGATCCCCCGAGGCCAGAATTACAGGCCATCTGACATAGGTGCTGGGAACCTACAGGAGTTCTCTAGAAGAGCAGTCAGCAGTCTCTCCAGCCCCTACTATGTATATTTATATCACAATTTGAACAACTCAAATTTTAAGCTCTAAAATGTATGTTGGACAGTGCAGTAAGGCGACTTCAGTGCTAAAGTGTTCATTGATCCCTGAAGTAGGTATGATTCTGATAGGCAAATAACTTTTAAAGGTGCTACCTGCTGTCTACAGCCTGTCTTTTGATGGGATACCACAAGGAGTTGCTAAGGTCAAAAGCAGGATTTAGGGTCAGGAATGCAGCTTAATGGTAATGTTTACCTACTATGTGCAAGTCCCTGGATTAAATTCCTAGCAATAAAAGGTAGGGTGGGTGGTTTCAGATTACTTTGTGAGCACTTATGTTTACCCTTGAGTGTAGAGTCTTTCAGCAATCCTCATGGTTTCCTTGGCATTTATTCTCAATTTTCGAGAAGCCAGCTTCTCCAGTTCCTGTAAGGGAGTCAAAAGACACTTAGATGCTGGAGAAATGGCTCAGTGGTTAAGAGCACTGACTGCTCTTGCAGAGGACTGGGTTTGATTCCCAGCACCCACATGGTAACAACCATCTTTAACTCCAGTTCCAGGGGATCTGATGCCCTCTTCTGACCTCCGTGGGCATTGCACGACATGGGTGCATTTACATGCATGCAAGTTGATAAACTCACACACATAAAATAAAAAAAAAGCTGGGCATGGTGGCTCATGTTTTTAATCCCAGCACTCAGGAGGCAGAGGCAGGTGGATCTCTGTGAGTTCAAGGCCAGCCTGGTCTACACAGTGAGTTCCAGGACAGTTAGGGCTACAGGGAAACCCTGTCTTGAAAGTACAAAAACAAAACAACAACAAAAAAACTAAAAAGGGTGGTGGCACATGCCTTTAATCCTAGCATTCAGGAGGCAGAGGCAAGGGATCTCAGTGAGTTCATTCAAGGCCAGCCTGGTCTACATAGTGACCGGTCAGGTGGGGCTCTCCTGACCCTGTCTCAAAAAAGTGAAAAAAAAAAAATTTGGATTGATTTATTTTTACATGTCTTTGTGTTTCCCCTGTATGTATGTAAATGTACCCATGTGTATAATGCCTGCGAAAGCCAGGATTCCCTGGAACTGGAGTTACAGTTGTTAGCCACTATATGGGTGCTGGGAACTGAATCCCAGTCTTCTACAAGAATGGCCAGTGCTCTTAACTGATGAGCCCCTGAAATCTGCATTTTTAACAAGCAGCCTAACAACATAATGATACTAATGCAGGCAGTCTGAGAACATGTCTCAAGTCCCAGGAAAATCCCCCTGGATAATGAAAAGCATCCTTTGAGGCCTTCTAATTCCAGCCCTTCTTTTCTTTTGACAATATGACAAAGCATATTTAACTAATAACAAAAGCATGTAACTCAGTGGTAGAATTCTTGCTTTACAAATGCAAAAACAAACTATTTCAATTACAGTGTTATAAAAATACATCTATGCTGGGTGTGGTGTTAATCCCAGCACTTGGGAGGCAGAGGCAGGCAGATCTCCTTGAGTTTACGACCAGCCTGGTCTACATAATGAGTTCCAGGTCACCTGGTGCTACAGGGAGACCCTGTCTCAAGAAGACCAAAATAAATAAATAAATAAACAAATAAAAATATATCTATTGTAGGCCACTTGTATTTCTTCTTTGTTTTCAAACCTTATATAATATAGTTGTACTTTTTTTTCTTTAATATTTTGGTTCATAGCTGCTTTGTGGGTGCTGGGAATCGAACCCAGGTCCTCTGCAAGAGCAGTCAGTGCTCTTAACCACTGAGCCATCTCTCCAGCCCGTTTCTTTTTTTAAAAAACAAATTTATTTTTTATTTTCTGTGTATGAGTGGAATGCCTGCATGTATGTAAGTGCACCTATGTTGTGCAATGCCCACAGAGGCCAGAAGAGGACATTGGACCCCCTGGAACTGGCATTACAGATTGTTGTTTGCTGCCATGTGGGCACTGGGAATTGAACCTGAGTCCTCTGGAAGAACAGCAAGTATTCTTTTCTGTTCATTCATTCATTCATTCATTTATTATTTTTTGGCCTTTTTGAGACAGGGTCTCCATGTAGCCCCAGCTGACATAGAATTCACTATATAGATCAGGTCTTGACTTCACAGACATTTGCCTGCCTTTGTCTCCCGAGTGCTGGGATTAAAGGAATATGCCATCATGCCTGGCCTGAGTGTTCCTTCTTGCAGTGGCCCCAAATCCCAGGTTTCTCAAGGAGGCTCTGAAGGGACACCCTCCCCCTTCCACTGTCAGAGCACTTGCATATGACAGTTGCCCACCCCAGCTTGGGGACAGAGCAGCTCTGTGGCCACACTAGCCACGTGTCACTGAGAATCTAAGTTGGCTATCTAAATCTCAACTCAACAGCTAAGTCTTCCAAATTTTGAAACCAAACTTGAGAGTTAATAACCTTGGACCTTGCAGAAATGGTGATGGTTCTTAAAAGAAGTGTAAAGTTTACATCAATATTTAATTGCTATAGTTTGGAAGAGTTTGGATCTGCGATTGGAGGTCAGTGTCCATCTGCTGTAAGCAGGCTGGCTCCCTCTCAAGGGCCCTGGGGGGGG